GCCAAGTTGCCCAGGCGGGTCTCGAACCCGCAGGCTCAGGCAGTCCACTCACCTCAGCCTCCCAAAGTGCGGGATTACAGGCTGAGCCACTAACCCCGGCTCAGACCTTGTTTTAAGGGCTTTACATATACTTAATCTATCAGGCAAATCTAGAAGGTATTATGATGATCCCTATGTACAAATGGAGAAATGGAGGCACAGAGTGGCTATGTAATTTAATTTGGCAGGCGGGGTGAGGTGGCTCATGCCTGTAATTCCATCACTTTGGGAAGCAGAGATGAGAGCATTACCTGAGTCCAGGGGTTTGAGACCAGCCTGGGCAACTTGGCGAGACCTCATCTTTGCAATATATCAAAAAATTAGCCGGGCATAGTGGCACGTGCCTGTGGTTCCAGCTACTTGGAAGGCTGAGGTGGAAGAATTGTCTGAGCCCAGCAGTTTGAGGCTGTGGTGGCCGTGAGTGTGCCACTGCACTCCCGCCTAGGTGACAGAGTGAGACTCTGACTCCAAAAAAAAAAAAAAAATTTAACTTGGCAAAGTCACAAATCTGCTCTCCAATCTGTGCTCATATCACTACCTATTCTGCCCCTAAGCCTCTTTTGTCTTTGATTACCTTTAATTGACATCCTAATTTTTACCATGGTCATCTGCCATTTGAGAACCTGCTGTTGATTTGTCTGTGTGCCATATACTGATGGATTTTGTTATTAGCTCTTTATTTTCACGGTCTTCATTGAATACTTTGAGGCATTGTGAGGGCTTGATGGTTGTTGCAGGCTAATGTGGCCCCATGCACCTGCAACACCAGTCAGCATTACATAGGGATCCTGTTAAAGTTTGGGGTGTTGCTTTTCACATTGCCAACATGAGTGGAACTAAAAAAAATCTGATCTCCCAACCACTTGGTAGCCATTTGATGGTGACCAAGCTACTATGTTCTCTGTGTGTCTCAGTTGCTTTTTGTGTCAAGAATGGAGATGGGGCGGGGGTTGATTGGGCAGGTGTTGGTCAAAGGATACAAAATTTCAGTTAGATTGGAAGAATACGTTCAAGAAATCTATTCTATGGTATAGATTTGGTAACTATAGTTAATAACAACTTATCCTCAAAATTGCTAAGGATAGGTTTTAAGGGTTCTCACCACAAAAAGATAAGTATGTGAGGTAATACATGTTAATTCTTCAGACTTAGTCATTTCACAATGTATACATGTTTCAAAATAGTATATTGTAGATGTTAAACATATATAATTTTTGTCAGTAAGAGCAAAAAAAAAAAAAATCCCACTATTGCAGAGTTGTTGAGGAATAAAGTGAGATGTTTATCATTTTTGCTTTACTTGGAGTCTTTAGTCTTTTTTTTTGAGTCATTGTCTTACTCTGTTGCCCAGGCTGGAGTTCATGCTCACAGCCACCGCAGCCTTGACCTCTGGGCTCAGGCGATCCTTCCGCCTCAGCCTTCCAAGTAACTGGAACTACAGGCACACATTACCATGCCTGGCCTAGTTTTTGATTTATTGTAGCGGTGAGAGGTCTCACCAAGTTGCCCAGGCTGGTCTTGAACCTCCTGAGCTCAGGCAGTCCTTTTGCCTCATCCTCCCAAAGTGCTGGGATTACAGGCTTGAGCCACCGTGCCTGGTTTGGAGTCTTTCTTTTATATAATAACTGTTTTTTCACTTTTTTGTTTTTTTTGGTAGAGACGAGTTCCCACTATGTTGTCTATGTCTTCTTGAACTCCTGGACTCAAGCAGTTCTCTCAAAGTGCTGGGATTACAGGTGTGAGCCACTGTACCTGGCCTTTTCTTTTACATTAAAAAAAATTAAAATGGCCAGGTATGAAATTTACCCCTCCATATTTCCTCTCTTAATGTTTTCATTCTTGATATTTTGCCACCATCAGGGCAAACGTTGGCCTCTCCTACAAGGCAAGCTTCCCTACATTGGTTCAATTAACCAGTTTATCTCATTGCAGTAGGTCAGAGGGCAGAGCCATTGCCAGTGCCCATTGTTACAGTCACTGTTTGAGCTTGTGGCTCCTGGCAGACAGCTAGTGTTTAGCAAGTGCTTTTTGCATGACAGTTTTCAACCTCTTCACCATTAGGCCTATGTATATGGTATAGCTCTCATCAGTTCCATCTCTTTTTCTCTTTTCTCATTCAATAAAGGTGTTCCTTTCCCCGGAATCCCTGTTCCTTATGGTTTATCTCTGATCTTATGACTCTATTTTACCTTCCTGCTCCAGTTGCCAAAGGATAAAATAACCCATGTGCCAAATCAGCTTATCTCTTTAGAGCTCATTGACACTTCATCTGTTTTGCTTCTTTCCCACCCTGTTGTCTGCCCTTCACTGCCTTTTCCAGTAGATTTCTTTAAGTTTGGCACTTATGGTTTGGCCCACAGCCTCTTCTTAATCTCCGTCTTTTACCTGGGTGACCTCATCTATTCATACCTGTAATTTCCAAGTAGTTGCTAGTAAATTAAAAACATTTTCAAGGCAGGGCGCATTGTCTCACACCTATAATTCCAGCACTTTGGGAGGCTGAGGTGAGAGGATTGCCTGAGCTCACCGGTTCAAGACCAGCCTGGGCAGCTTGGCGAGACCTCATCTCTACAATAAATAAAAAAATTAGTTGGGTGTGGTGGCGCATGCCTGTGGTCCCAACTACTTGGAAGACTGAGGTGGAAGGTTCGCCGGAGCATGCCACTGCACTCCAGCCTGGGCAACAGATTAAAACTCCAACTCAAAAAAAAACCCAAAACATTTTCAGCTCTACCACCTCTCCTTTGAATTCTGTGCTACGATTTCCAACTGCCTAACTTTCAACTTCCATTTGAGTACCTGACTCTTCAAGTCTCCAGGTGAACTCACCTCTTATTTAATTGATTAAGTGATGCAGTCATTCAGATATTTATACCGTACTGTGTACTTGCCCCATGCTAGGTGCCCCCTTCACAGTATGCCATTGCATGTTGCAGAAGGTTTGGTAGAATGTTCCAGTCAGGTGGGGCAGTTTTTGCAACAACATGGAGATCCGAAGGGCGTGTTGTGTCTTGGAGTTGAGTGGTTCGGTACATTTAAAGCATCTAACCAACACTTTACAAACTTTGAATAAGCATCTGGGTCATCCTTACAAGGAAGTTGGGGTGGGGCCCGTGATTTTGCATTTTGACAAGTTCCACATGATGTCACTGCTGACCACAGTTTTGTGGGTAAAGATTAAAGGCTGTGCTGAGAGCTCAGTGGAAGATGATAGGTCTGTCGCGTTACGCCCCCTAGCTCTTATGGCACTAAAGCTTGTGGAGGTGTTGAAGTGAGTTGTACTTTGAGATTTATTCTCTTTAATGGTAGCTGCAGTGGGTCTCGAGGCAGGTATTAATAGAACAGATAGATCTAACACAGGAATCCCTCTGGGATGATCTGGAGTTCCTTTTGAAACACAGCAGAGTAGTTTGGAAAGCTCTTCTAAGAAGGCTGCAGTGGAGCCTAATGTCTGGTTTGTTGAATGAGTGGAGAGAGAGAAAAAGTTGGAGAGAAGCTATGAGATTTCTGGTTTGGGCCTATGGTGATGTCACTCTCCTACAGGGAATGAAGAGGAGCAGGTTTTAGGGAGATGACAGTGAGCTTGGACAGGTAGCATTTGAGGTGCCTGAGGGGAAATGGACGCAGACATTAATGATACAAACTTGAGAATTTGCTGCTGACAGGTGGCATCAGGTAAGTGGAAAATGAGAAATGAGCTTTGCACTTGGAAGGGGTTTGACAGGGTAGCTTTGCCGATGTAACCTTAATTCCAGAGGGCAATTGCATATTGGAAGGGAGAAGGCAGAAGGTGAGCCAAACTTTAAGAGATAAGAATTCTCTTAACTTTCCTCTTTCCACACCTAGAACCTTGTCTACATTATCATTCTTCCTTAAAGCATGGTATTTCTCCTTAAGACTAATTGTAGAACCTTGAACCATTTGGTTTCTCAGGGATGTCCCTTTTTTTTTTAGTCGGAGTCTCACTCTGACGTCCAAGTGGGAGTGCAGTGGCATGCTCACAGCCACCGCAGCCTTGACCTGCTGGGCCCACGTGATCCTTCTGCCTCAGCCTTCCAAGTAGCTGGAACTACAGGCATGTGCCACCACGCCCAGCTATTTTTTTTATTTACTGTAGATATGAGGTCTCCCAGTGTTGCCCAGGCTGGTCTCAAACTCGTGGGTTTAGACAGTCCTCTCACCTCCACCTCCCAAGTTTGCTGGGATTACAGGCATGAGCCACCATACCTGGCAAGGGATGTCACTCTTATCCTGGCTCATAATCTGGATCCCATCAATTTTAAACAAGCTTATTGTCCCTCTTTCTATCCCTTCAATACTATATCCCTCTTTCAGCACTGCTGTCTTTCTTTCTTAACCAGAAAACATTTCTGGAAAATGTTGCCTGCATTTACTGACTCCGTCATTTTCCTTCATGTTCACTCATTCTTCACCCTTTGCCATCTCATTTTCACCCCTCTCTACTCGTGAAACTGCAGATGCCGTAAGTACACCTTCAGCCTCTTAAACCTCTCAACGTGAATAGTTCTACTGACTAGTCTCTTTCCACTCTTGAGCTGTTGTTCAGTTTCCTTCTTGTGCCATAAATGCTTCAGGTGCTGTGTGCTTTCAGTCCCCCCTTCCTAGCTTTACCCTGATCTAACTACTTACCACTTGACTTGTCTACTCTGACTTCCCACAGGCACCTCCAGCTAATCTGTTGACACACTCTTCCTCTCATGTTAAATGGCATTTTCAGCCACCAAGATGCCCGGACAAAAATACGAGTACCTTCCTTTTCCTGTTTTCCCATCTGCTCACATTCAGCTTCTGAGTCACTGTGTCACTTGAGCCGCTACCCATAAACCAGGCTCTACCATCATCTCTTAAACTTGGAGTGTCTTCATCATTGGCCTTTGAGTAATTGACCTTTTCCCTGTGCTCCTGGCACGTCCTGCTACAGCAGCGTGTTCTAGCCCTTATCAGGCACGCCTTTATTGTAAATATTTTCTTGTCAGACTTTACATTTCTTGAGGTCAGGGACTGTTTACATTGTATTCCCAGTGTATGGCACAGTGCATGTTCACTGGATAAACGGGGAAAGACTAGACAGAATTCATGTTTGTAGGTTTGGGAAGGACCTAGAGAGGAAGGAGCATTTGACAAGCAAGCATAGGTACATCGTGCAAGAGGTGAGTGGGTCTGTGCTCTGTATCCTGTCAGGTCAGCTTTGCCAGGTGTTCAACAATGGAGTTTGTATTACTGCTCGCATTTTAATCTACTTGCAGCCTCTTCTCCCCTTTTCCCTTGTTTCCACCTTTCCTCTGTCAGATAAGTCATTTTCGGGTGAGAATTGATGCCTTCTGTCATTAAATAAAGGAAATAACTGAGACTGGGAACTTTGGATTGGTTTCATTTGGTGGCTAGCAGGTAGTGGATAATAAGGATAATTGTTCAATTAAATTAATTATTAAAATCGGGTAATTATTAAAATAACTCAGAAAGCAATGAAAAATTATCGAGCCAGAATGATCTCTGGCTCTATCTTACTTTATCTAACTTGTATTTTTTACGAAAACAAGCCTAATAATCAAGAATAATAATTGCTAGGTCAGTGTCTCTTGGGAGTGTGATACTAAGTAGAAGTAAAGAATAAAAAGGCGTGAGTGACTTTTTCAGACTTCCTTCCTCCTTTTCTACTTAATTTTCTACTTAATTTTTTCAACGGTGAGTGTAAGGAGTATGGAAAAATGTTGCCTTTTCAAGGTGAAGTGATCAGTTTAGCTGGAACCGAGTTCATGGTATGGCTTGGTGATCTCTTGGGCTCTTGTTTTGTTTTGTTTGGTATTTCTTTGTAAGTTGTTTATTCTTTCTAATTCATTATTGATTGTGTAAAAGAAAGTGGGAGCAAAGTTAAAAACATTTTTGCCTTCAGTGGCAAAATGGTGACATAGGGAGACATTTTTGTCTCCTGTGTTTTCCCACTTGTTTTTCCTGTGGCCTTTCTTCCCTCACCTCATTGCCTCAGATTTCCAGGTCAGAGCTAGCCACAGTTTAAACCTTAAAGATCTTGACTTGACTCTGCAATATTTGCAGTTTATTTCAGTTGGCAAGGTGCTTATAGAAGAAAAGACTGTTTCCTGCAATATTGACAAGGGGAAGGTAGAATAAGGGAGGGAGATGATAACGAAAACAGTATTTTTAGGTAGGTGTGAGATCAGTGGCATGGTTCGGTTTGTCCTTGGGTACTTGGTGAAAAGAAGGATTGGCTGGGCCCTATGGCTCATGCCTATAATCCCAGCACTTTGGGAGGCTGAGGTGAGAGGATTGCCTGGTTTCATGAGTTTGAAACCAGCCTGGGCAACTTGGCGAGACCTCATCTCTACAATAAATCAAAAAGTTAGCTCGGTGTGGTGGCGTGTGCTTGTAGTTCCAGCTCCTTGGAAGGCTGAGGAGGAAGGATCACCTGAGCCCAGCCAGTCAACACTGCAGTGGCCGTGAGCGTGCCACTGCACTCCAGCCTGTGTGATAGAATGTGACTCCAAGCCGGGCTCGGTGGCTCAGCCTGTAATCCCAGCGCTTTGGGAGGCTGAGGTAAGTGGATTGCCTGAGCCCGCAGGTTCGAGACCCACCTGGGCAACTTGGTGAAACCTCATCTCTCTATAAATCAAAAATCAGCTGGGCATGGTAGTGCGCGCCTGTAGTTCCAGCTACTTGGAAGGCTGAGGCGGAAGGATG